AATATTTCATTTTTCACTGGTTGTTTTCAAGAGCTTCATTTCTGGGAAAATCAGTTCAAGGAAACACCTGTGAAGTATCTCTTTACTCACAATGGGTCAGATTCTGTTACTATATTTTCAGATGCAAGTAGTAAGGCATGTGGGGCTTTTATCAAAGGCGAAAATGATCAAGTCTGTCATAAAAATTGGTCGATTAATGAACAAAAAGAAAGTTCTACCTGGAGAGAACTGTCTGCGTTATTATTTTCAATTGAAAGTTTCATGCCTAAACTAAAAGACAAGCAAGTGCTTCTTTGTACAGATAATCAAAATTGTGTACGAATTGTAGAAAACGGAAGTACAAAATCTCGTTTGCACGAGATTTCTATTAAAATATTTAATCTATGTTTGAAAGAAAATATTTCGTTGTTAACTGAATGGGTTCCAAGGAGCCAAAACGAAATTGCAGACTGTATTAGCAAATTTTGTGATGTAGATGACTGGGGAGTTTCCGATGATTTTTTCTGTTTCATGGATGATTTATGGGGCACTCATACTGTTGACAGATTTGCCAATCATTACAACAATAAAATACTTCGATTTAATTCTAGGTTTTGGGTCCCTGAAACAGAGGCAATGAATGCCTTCTCCTGTTCTTGGGCTGGGGAAAATAATTGGCTTGTGCCCCCTATAAGTATTGCTCCACAGGTTATAAATTACTTGGAGAAGTGCAAAGCTAAAGGAACTTTAATTATTCCAAATTGGCCTTCGGCGCCGTTTTGGCCAATGTTGTTTGGAGACAACAGTATTAAGAAAGCTCATATTCTTGATATTTTAATGTTTTCATCCGGGCAGAATATTTTTGTTCAATATTTAAACAAGAACACGATTTTTGGTCCGGATTTCCATAGTAAAGTCCTTGCTATTAGGCTCGATTGTACCAATAATGATGTTTAATATGTTGTCGATTTTCGCCGACCTGACGGCGTTGATAGAATTTTCCGCCGACCTGACGGTGTAAAGTTGTTGCCGACCTGACGGCTTTATTTAGTTAATGCCGACTGAACTGTTTTAGTTGTTTTTTGATGACCTGGCGGTCTATTCATATTTTTTTTGCCGACCTGACGGCGTAGAGATTATTTTTATCGCCGACCTGACGGCGTAAAGCTTATATTTATCGCCGACCTGACGGCGTTAATAAATTTGCCGACCTATTGGCGTTATTAAGTCAACTTCTATAATTTGTTATATATTTTTCATGTTTGTGTTTATTTTACATATTTAAAACATATATATGTAATGATATTAATATGAGTATTTATTATATTTCATTCTCTTCTTATACGTTTTGCAGATCTAATTGCACTGAAGTTAGAGACAAGGAATTACCAGAATCCGGAGTTGTCTTTCCTGGCTGATCGTGTTCCAGATATAGTTCTTCAATCTAAAGCACCTAATACCAGTAAAAAGTATCAAAGAACTTTTCAAGCATGGAGTCGTTGGGCATCTAAATTCAGAATTTCACCACTTCCGGCTTCGGAATCTGATGTCTGCCTTTATTTGGTTTCGTTAATTCAAAAAGGTAAATCTTTCTCAAGCGTTGACGAGGCATTTTATGGAATAAAATGGGCTCATGAATTAGCAGGCTTTTCGAACAATCCGTGTACGTCGTTCTACGTTACTTCAGTCAGGGAAGCAGCTCATAGGATTCTTGGTCATTCTGTTACCAAAAAGGAACCGATCTCTCCTGATGTGTTAAGACAATTAGTCTGTGCCTTTGGTTGTTTAAATGCTAATCTTTTTCAGTTGAGAAATTTAACTATGTGTTTATTGTCATATGCTGGTTTTTTAAGGTTTTCAGAACTTGTTAATATTAAGCGGTCAGATATATGTTTCTATACAGATCATGTTGAAGTTTTTATTGTTCAAAGTAAAACTGATGTTTATAGGGATGGCGATCGTTGTTTGATTGCAAAAACGGGTTGCGATACTTGCCCAGTTAATATGTTGCAAAGATACATCAATAGCGCAAAAATTAGAGATGATTCTAATGAATATATTTTTCGTGCGCTTACTTTTTGTAAAAAATATAATTGCTACAAATTAAGAGGGTCTAAATCGTTATCTTACAGTCGAGCTAGAGAGATTTTGCTTAACATGCTAGAGTCAATTGGTTTAAACAAACAGCTTTTTGGGCTGCATAGTTTAAGATCTGGTGGTGCCACGACAGCCGCTAATATGGGTATTCCTGATCGTTTATTTAAGCGGCATGGTCGATGGAAAAGTGATCGAGCTAAAGATGGCTATGTTAAAGATGATATTGATAAAAGATTACTTGTTTCGAAATCTTTGGGAATTTAATCATTTGTCTAGCATTTCAATGCAATGCTTTATAAATTATTATTTTATGACCGTTCTTTGTTGGTCGATATATTATTGTATAACACAATGCACAAGACAATTCCTAAATAGCATTTTGTGTTTTGTTATCTTTTCTCAGAGTTGATTTACCTTATTAGATGGTAAATGATTTATTTCCGGTTGAGAGAAACGAATTAGGAAATAAATATATTTATCATAGGTTAAAGTAAATCATCTAGTTTTAGTGAGTATCACCCTTTAAGGTTGTAGTATTTATGGTATTCAGTTTTTGCACGGATTTTCCGTGCGTGTAAAGTATTGATAATCGTTGTTAAGATTTTTTCCTCATTCGAAGTCTTTGCATTTTGCAGATAACATATACATTACGTTTCCCAGCCCACCCACCCGTTTTTAAGCATAAAGGATTTTTTATGTTTATTTTGAAAGAAAATGATATTTATTCGTTGTTTAGAAAGGGCAATCTTGAATATATCAGTGTTTCTATTACAGTTTTTAGGGCATGTTAAAAGTTCATTTCCTGACGATGTTAATTTATTGGTTTTTTACTTTATGGAAAGAATATCAGGACGCTAATATTAAAGTTTATCAGTAACAAAATTTATGAAAGCATTTCTGTGGCTTACTGGGCCTTTAATTATTTTTCAGGTTTTTATTTTACAAATATGCTGTAGATTTTTTGATTTCTATATTATTTTGTTTAAATGCTCTCATAAACATTTGTTTTTCTCTGCAGCAATCGTTTTGTTGAAAGCTCAATTAATATAATATATCCTTTAAGTGATACAAAATCTTTCTTTATGATTTACTTGTCATAAACATAAGAATTTTACAACCTTATGCTACTTTATTGTTCAAAATATTGTGAATGGATTGTACTGCTGATAAATGATAATAATGTATATACATGTATGCTTGTTTGATAAGTTTATCATGAAATTATTTAGTTGAATTTGATATACAAAATTTGTGTTCGATATGATATTGTATAACACAATGCACAAGACAATTCCTAAATAGCATTTTGTGTTTTGTTATCTTTTCTCACAGTTGATTTACCTTATTAGATGGTAAATAATTTATTTCCGGTTGAGAGAAACGAATTAGGAAATAAAATCCGTTAGTCGTTATTACTTTGGAGAAAACAGGTCATAATGTAGGACACATATCGTTAAAAACATGCAGAAATATCCTGCGACGTTTATTTCTGCGGTGCTTAAACTGACCGCAGAAAACACAGAAAAAAGTCACCGCAGAAAAAAACCACTTATACGGTATTCCTTTCGTTATAGAATGCTCCATGGAGTTATCATTGTATACGTGCATACATTTCGTTAGGTAATAATTCATCTAGTATAAGGTGTAGCATTCAGAAGGCAGTGTCTAGACGCGGGCACATATGGCTCATGCAATTCTTTAACCGAGCTGACAGTATCAAAAGAATCTGTACAACATCTGGAGCAGACACATATTTCACTGCAGACCATTACGCAACATTTGAGCTTATCCATGTCTTGCCAATAATGAAGTTAATCTATAAATAACCTCTAATTTTTGCTACTCCCCGCTCATAAATAAATGATACTGTGCAACCTAAACGTCATTAATCATCTTTACATTTGCCAAGATTGTCTTTTTATTTCTTGTCTTGATCTTTTGCACTATAGAATTTCATCTTTTTTATCTTTATTTTTTGGGAATATTGCGGGTATTCATTACGTTTATTGGAGTATCTATAAAAAGAATCGTCCAGCTGACTAGATTGTGTTTACGTACATTATCCATCCGATGTCCCGGAGTAATATATAATACAACATAGCAGCCCTTAAACTGCCACCCAATGTTTGACAAGATATACGTGTCGTTTTACCTTGGGTTTTGATTTCTTTAAATTATTTCTCATTTTGAGTCTACATGAACGTATTCCAACAGATGATGCTCCACACAAGAATAATAATGATGCAATAGAAATTGTTTGATATATTTCATTTATTTTTCTAGAAATAAAAATAGTCATATGCAAAATGCCTCCGTCAAATTTTAATTCAACATTTTAACCTTTTTTAGAAGAGCCAACTGATGCTGTTTATCATATCTACTTACACACTACTTTTGAGCAGACATCCCTGAAAATATAAATAGTCCACATATACTTAAGTGAAAATAATAACTAATTTAAAAACAACTCAAGCTTAAAAACCACAAAGCCAAATCAAATTACTTCATCGATGCACAGAAAATCTAGTACATTTGATAAAGCTAGCGGATTAATGTCAAATATTTAAGATAAAATTGTAATTACTTTCCATAAAAAGAAGAATGAACACTATTTAAATGATATGCACGTCAGTCAAAAGACGTTTTTTATATCCTTGAAACACTTAATATATCTTTATCATGAACCGAGATATAAAATAGCATGTGTTTGTAGTGGTAACATGCACAGAGTACCTAATGCACTGGAATGACGAAAAAAAATTATCTTCCGCAACATTGCATACCTTCATTATTGTCTCCTTCCTTTATTAAAAAGGAATGTGATAGAACGAGCTTTTTAGTTTGTATTTTCATTTCCAGAATTTAGAAAATTGATAACATTTATAGTTATTTGATAAGATTATCAATCATTCTTATCTTTTCAGGGTACGGTCATGTGGCTCCAAAGACAGATGAAGGTCGAATAATGACAATAGCATATGCAGTATTAGGAATCCCGTTAACACTGTTGTGCCTTACTAACATTGGTGACCTCATGGCACATGGATTTAGATCGCTTTACGGCAAAGTGTGTTGTGGTCTGTGTTGCATATTATTCCGCCCTCGAAGACGACGCCGAATGGATCCTGAGAAAGGACTTTCCGGGGCTGAAGAGCGCATGATAATGCAAGAAAATGAAAAATCAGGGGAAGTAGTTCATGTACCTACCTCCGTGTGTTTATTACTTATGTCTTCATACATCATGCTAGGAACTTTATTGTTTGCGGAGTGGGAAAATTGGGATATGGTAACAGGGACTTATTTCTGTTTCATCACTCTGAGCACTATTGGTTTTGGAGATGTCGTACCAGGAATGAACCAAACAGACTGGGATCAACAAGAGAAACTAGTGTCATGTGCCTTATATCTTGTGTTTGGCTTATCATTAATTGCGATGTGTTTCAATTTAGTGCAAGAAGACGTGAAAGCTAAATGTAAATGGCTTGGGATGAAACTAGGAATAATTGATAAGCCAGTTAGTTCAGTTTGATACGTGAATAATAAATAATTTATTCTCCTTTAAATCAACAGGATATAAAGTATTAATTAAGTTCTTAATTAATATGATTAATAATGTTATAAAAGGAAGACTGTTTGCATAGTTTACGCAATTCCATTGTTAAATCATGACGTATTGTTCTTTGTTAACATTCTTTTCCCCAAATTCCTTGGCACAAAATCGAAATTCATATCTTATCAATAACCCATTAAAACTAGAATATATGAATATAGTGAACAATTAAGATTTGAATATCTTGAAAATTCGGATATTAAATAGAGGAATAGATATTTAAAAATACCTGTCTCAGCATCAATTCTTTTATCTTATGACACCGGAGATAAAGTTAAACGAATGCGTTAAACTTAATTCTTTTAATGTTTTTGCCTCATTATAAGACACGAATTTCATTTGGAATGTCATCAAGAAAGTATCACATTAAGTTTTATTTTCAACGCTAACTATATATATATATGCCTGACGTACTTGTACAAGTATCTAGGAAATAGACGTCTTCGGAACTAAAATATCTGAAGGGTTTGGCGAGGTCAAACCTTCAATTTTATGATAATCATGTATTTTAAATTAAATCTGATCCCGAACATGCATTAATTACTTTGAATAGTATTACTGAATATATTTTAATTGCTTTTTTCAAATGGTAGATACTTAGAACTCTTTAAACTTTATTTCGTTATCAATTTAGCATTTTAATGTTTTCATCCGTTTTCATATTTGAGATATGTAAAATATTACTTGAGGGTATATAATTTTATTCGGTATTTAATTATATAAATGTGCCCTGTCTATAATAAAATACTCTGTTTACATTTAACTAAAAGCAGTGGTAGAAACGAGTATACACTTCAATTGTGAACTAATTTCTAACACATTTCCTTTCTGTGCCGACTTTTATGTCCCTAACCCCATTTACAAACAATAAGCGCCATGCTTCTGAGAAATTTATAGATAACAGTCAACTTTATGTAATAAGCAAACAGTTTGTACTTATACAATTGTTTAATATTAAATGTGTTTAACTTAATCGGCTGTCTGGCATGCAATGGCTAGCCTACAGCAAGTCAATGGTTTTATTCCGTTGGCCTCTCGTGCGTGAAATAATGCAAAAAGTTGCATCCCTGAGGTCTTCATTCACCTTAAAAGCCAGTAAACCAGCGTTTGGCCTTTACAATGTATGAAAAGCAAATTTAACAAAGCAAACTAATCGCAAAGTTTTCTTTTTCCACTGTGTGTATCTCCTGTAAATAAAGTTGGTATATCTCATCAAACTATAGTACCACATTTTCCCAACTTGCAAAGTTGCCAATATAACAAATTTAATAAAGATAAAATATCACTTTTTATCTGAAAGAATTTTGAAAAACCTCATACTGACAATTAAAATAAAGAAATCTGTCTGATTATACCTCGCAGAGAAAAGGATTTCAAGCAGTCGTGATTAATTTTTTTCAAGAGAAACAGAATCTTATATCCACATGAAATAATAACACTGCTCAATTGGAAAAGTTTTATCTTTTATTTACTCGTGACTAAAATAGTAATCTTACCTAGATGTTTTAAGCTTTTGCTTAAATACTGTACAGGTTAGCCGAATAAAACTATCTAGAAATGTAATGAAATATTTATATCAATTTGCTTATCTGTGAACATCATTAAGTTCTTAACTTTTTCCGGCACTAAAAAACTATGACATTAGTTCTTTCTTAACCAAGATCTTTCAAATCTTTGATATTTGCCTTACTTTAAGCGCAAGTGTGAGGTTTACGTAATATATTTACGTATGCCTTGACATGAAAAAAGTGAGTGAATAATAACAGTTAATAGAAAGCTATGGCATAAAATGTTGCATTTGTGTCAATTACTGATTAAATGAATGATATTTGAAAAGTCGGGTACAAAACATTATATATAAACGTTTCGCTATAATTACGTAGTGCTTCTAGGATGATTTTGTTCTGTTTGTTTCTGTGTTTTTTTATTATTTGTTTGCTTGTCCGCTTGCCTTTAATGGTTGGGTTTGTTTGTTGCTGTTCTGTTTTAACTTGTGAAAGACAAGTGATCTTTGTCACAGACAACTATACTTAACATGAATTGCAATCAAAATGTACGTGAGCAGAGAGCCATGCTATTTATTATTGAAAGTTCAATATGATTTAAAATATTTGGAATGTTATTTTTCCTTTATAAAGGCCCATTATGCTACAGAAATGATTTGAATTTTGTTTTCCTGAATCCTTATATTCTGTATGTCCTGTTATAGTTTCCAAATAGATACTAATTAGTCAATTACCTGAAACTTTTTGTGTATGTCGCTTTTTTTGGCATTCAGTACAGTTTTGGTGATTTAATACTCTTAATGGAAGTCATAATAATACTTTGTTTACAATTTGCTAATTTTAACTAATAATGCACATTTAGCGCTTCTTTTGTCTAGATATAAACATCTAACATACATAACTCCACTATTCCAGCATTATAAAACTCACGTTTGTCCTTTCTGAAGGAGTTTTTTTTTCCAGAGGCATAATGTGCCTTTAATATTGAATTTACAGGCTCTATTATCTCCATGAGTTGTAAATATTACTGACGCATTCAACACTTTTTACTATCAGGGCATAAGTGTACTATAACAATAATAAAATAATTTTCAAATAGCATGATATTATGAAGATATTTGTTTATTTTATTCAAAGCTGCATGTCTCCAGATGAGCCAAAACATTTCAAGAAAAATAGCTTTGAGAAAAATGAACACATGTTTTAAGAAAAGTAAAACTATTCACAGTTCAAGTAATGATTTGCATGTGGTATGCGGTGAATGACTGTTATAACGTATAGCATTTGGTATATATTTGGTGATTGTTTTGAAAATCATTTTTATTTGACTTTTGGGTTTAACCTTAAATCATATTTTGTGTTGAATCAGTAAAAATTAGATATATGCTAAGGTGGCGTAAATTGAATATAGGTTAAAGTATATATAAATGTCATTTTTGGCTTCCCTTTAGTCAAAGCAATTAAACGTAAATCAAGACATTTTGGAGATAACAAATCCTGTTATTATTTGTATTAAAATCAAAGGAGCACCGCTAACGTCAAAACGATTTGATATTCTTACATGGATCAAGTAAATCACGTAAAATGAAACAAACTGCAAAGGATAATGTTAAAATATACCCAGAATTAATATATATTTAACCGTTGTTTCTTTTGCGATACTTAGCCAGATCTGAGTGGCTCATTTTAAAAAAAAACTGGATGAGGGAAGAATCTGCAGGTTTGACACACAATGGTGGTCCAGATCGTTTAAAAGAGAAAATAAATCTTGGTAAAATATTTTAAGTCCCGTCATGTATAAAGACCTAAGGCCGTTTTTATTCTCTTCGATTGTGAATTTTTTAATGTTTCTTAAACTATCAACATTAACCTAAAAAATATGCAACGGTGCGTTTTGAACAAGATATAATGTTTTTTGGCATTCACTGTGGGTGGTTCTTCTTCTTTTTCCAGTTCAAGGCAACAAAAATTATCTGAGAATGCAGGACGAATGCTTCATAATAAATTTCCTGTATTTTCATTTTCCCTGATCGAACAAAATGTGCTTAAATTGCGTTCAAAGGACGTAACATATAAAAGTCGCGTTTTTGACAGATATTACAAAAATTGAAAGCATAAGGACTTGGTTACAGTAAGTTATGTTTACCGTTATCAAAAGCAGATTTTATTGCTAAAGTTAAAAGAAAACTATTATCAATTTCAGTGTACATCACGATTTCTAGCCCATTAGAAATTATCATTTACCAACGAACAATCCGTTAGCAGCAAAAGGCATACCACTGCGATAATCATTTTATTTGTTGTTTGATATTTAACATCCTCCATCTATTTTGTACTATTTGGTTGAATGGCATAATAATTTGAGAATTATTTGGAGGATTGCTAGAAGGCTCAATAGAGTATGTCAAATTCAATCCAGATTAGTTTGTGAAAATGTACAGCTGTTTCAAAAAGATGATCATTAGTAAAAGTACTATTTTGCCGTCAATATTTAACACATAGCGCACAAAATTTCTTAAAATACTTGGTAATTGTTACAAGCATTTTCACATAAAAAGATATATTTAACAAACTTTTCGGATTGTTCTCATTTTAATAAATTATGATGATAAAGATTTGAACCGAGGTGTGTGCCATTTTACAAAGAAATGACGATAATGTCACTTGGTATGGGCAAACTAATCATGGAACTTTCAATGTGACACTGTAAAACATTTATTTTTCAATATAATCTTTTGCAAAACCTAATGATCATTGCTTAATACATTGTATTTATTTGGTTTATGTGTCCTTCACATTGTTTATTGTAGGCTGTCTAACGTTAGGTCACTTTATAAAGATTTCTTGTTTACTAGTGAGTTTTTACACTGTCGGCTTGGACAATAAAGAATGCTCAACTAGCTTGGACAATAAAGTATAACTCAAATGAATTCAAATCTAAGTATATGCACGCAATTTAATAAAGTCTCAAAAGCATGTGATAAAGATGGCGACATGGATTAAAGTAAAGCATCGTTTTGCTTGCCATGACGTATATATTTGAATAGTGTCTGCATTATTATGGAAACATAATTGTCCGTTTAAGTACATTTTGTTCAGTCATCTCTCGAAGCAAAATAAATCTTAAAAAAGTGTTTTATGATTTATGATTACTTTCGACAATTCTTTATCTTTATATATATATTATTTGTATTATGTTTTGTTTTTGTTTTAAATGTTACAAATTTTATTAATCAGATAATTATATTAATTTAATAATACAAACCCCTTAATAAATTTCTCAAATGATATATCATTAATTGGAATTCTTTATATTTTACAACTACGAATTAGCAACGTAATTTATTCTAATAATTATTATGATCAGAACAGAATCTTATATCCACATGAAATAATAACACTGCTCCATAGGAAAAGTTTTATCTTTTATTTACTCGTGACTAAAATAGTAATCTTACCTAGATGCTCAAAGCTTTTGCTTAAATACTGTACAGGTTAGCCGAATAAAACTATCTAGAAATGTAATGATATATTTATATCAATTTGCTTATCTGTGAACATCATTAAGTTCTTTACTTTTTCCGGCACTAAAAAACTATGACATAAGTTCTTTCTTAACCAAGATCTTTCAAATCTTTGATATTTGCCTTACTTATAGCGCAAAGGTGAGATTTATGTAATATATTTACGTATGCCTAGACATGAAAAATAGCGAGTGAATAATAACAGTTTATAAAAAGCTATGGCATTAAATGTTGCATTTGTGTCAATTGCTGATTAAATGATATTTGAAAAGACTGGTACAAACCTGTTTGTATAAACGTTTCGCTATAATTTTGTAGTGCTTCTTGATGTCTTTGTTCTCAAAATTTCTGTAAGTTGGTTTGTTTATGTTTCTGTATGTTGCTTGTTTACTTGTCTTTAATTGTTGAGTTTGTTTGACAATGTTTCTGTTGTTTTTTTTAAATTTGTGATAGACTCATAATCCTTTTGTCCCTTTTAAAAGGCCCATTATGCTCCAGAAATGATTTTTTATTTTGTTTTCTTAAATCGTTTTATTTTTTTGTGTCTAAAAGAACACTTATTGGCCAATAACCTGAAACATCTTTTGTGTCTGTTGCTTTTTTTCGGCATTCAGTACAGTTATAGTGATTTAATACTCCTAATGGAAGTCAAAATACTACTTTGTTTACAATTTGCTAATTTTAACAAATAAATGCATATTTAGCGCTACTTTTGTCAAGGTATAAACATCTAACATACATAAAACCACTATTCA